CGACGTGATCTGCCAGCTGCCACCGTTCCGTCGCGGGCTGTGTCTCAGCCTGCTCGTCGCCGTGGGTGCCCTCCTGCGTCCTCCACACCGGCACCGCCTCGCGCTGAGACATCGTCGAGGCCGGAGCGTCGAGCCCCACGCAGGAGAGCGGCGCCTCCCGTGTCGCATCCGGTCGCTAGATTCTCTAGGAAGATGACGAAGCGGCCCTGACACGGGCAACCCAGAGATGTGGGATACTGCTCTTCTGGAGGTGCTGAGGACAGCACCGCTCCTTCCCCTGGAGGAGGGCCGGGCAGGGAATATTTTTCTTTCTGTTCTGCCGTTGGCTCGATGCGCAGCACATCACGATGCAGTGGACGGCCGGTCCCTGGGAAAGCATGACCTGATCGTTAGGTTCCTGAGGGGTGCCAGAAGGTTGAATCCTTCTAGGACACCCCTGATACCCTCATGGGATCTCTCTGTTGTCCTCGCTGGACTTCAGAGGGGTCCCTTTGAGCCGCTTTATTCAGTTGAGCTAAAGTTCCTGTCTCTTAAGACAGCGCTCATGATCGTGCTCACTTTCATCAAGAGGGTCGGGGACCTCCAAGCACTTTCGTTAAGTGAAGAGTGCCTTGTGTTCGGGCTGGCCTACTCTCACGTTATCCTGAAACCCTGGCCTGGATACGTGCCCAAGGTTCCCACCACTCCCTTCCGAGATCAGGTGGTGAACCTGCAAGCCATCCAGCCTTGGCGTTGCTTGTCCCGTAAGAGCATTACGCATATACGTGGACCGCACTCAGAGTTTCAGAAGCTCTGAGCAGCTCCTTGTCTGCTTTGGAGGCCAGCAGAATGGGAAGGCTGTCTACAAGCAGAGGTTGGCCCACTGGAAGGTGGATACCATCGCCTTGGTGTACCAATCCCAAGGCGAGCCGTGCCCCCTGGGGGTGAGAGCCCGCTGCACTCGGAGTGTTGCCTCCTCTTGGGTCTGCCGCACAGCACCTCTTGGGCAGACATCTGTCGAGCTGCGGGCTGGGCGACACCTAACACCTTCGCGAGGTTTTACAACCTTCGTGTAGAGCCGGATTGTTCCCGTGTGTTGGGTAACAGGTAATTGGCGGGAAGATCTGGCTCGGTGTCACGCTTGCTGCCCCATTCCCCCTCACATGGTGATGCGAGCGCCTTCTCCCAGTAGAGTTCCCTGGTTGGCGAACCCTGGTCGAGCATCCTCCAGCACCCCCAGCAGTCGGACTTGGCGGAGCAGTCTGACGCCAGGCCCAGTACTGGTGTTAGCATGCCCGGAGTCCCGGCCAGCCCCTGTACTTGGCTAGGTGTCCATATGGCTTGATTCCCTACGGGTAATCCCATATGTGTATTCTTCCACGGTAAAGTTTCCCTCTCGGTAAACCCGTGTCTTCCCTTGACAGACCCGCTCTGTCAGTCTCTTCTGGAAGTTGGTTCATCCCTACTCTAAGGTAGGACCTGCCTCAGAGACCCATTTCATATGTAGTACTGCCCCCTGGGTCAGTCCATATCAGTATCTCCACATGTCACCTCCCTACGGGTAGGATGTGGTCTCCGTAGCAACCTTTTCCCTTAAGGCTCGCTTCCCCATCGTTCTGCAAGTCTGAAAGAACAAATAGGAAATATTTGAAGCAATCTTTCACTGAAGGTTGAAATCCCTTCCAAAAACTTTTTTTGTGGACGGAACAGCAGCATGGCCTTCTCCAGCAGCGATGTACTCACCGTGCTTCCCCATCGTTCTGCAAGTCTGAAAGAACAAATAGGAAATATTTGAAGCAATCTTTCACTGAAGGTTGAAATCCCTTCCAAAAACTTTTTTTGTGGACGGAACAGCAGCATGGCCTTCTCCAGCAACGATGTACTCACAGTTGGTCCCCTTCGGTACCAAGGTCAGTGAATTTGCGCTGGGGCTTTGGGAAGGTTACGACCTTAGCATAGCTTTTGTGGCACACCACGGCTCGTCAACAATTGCAGCGCCACAGGATTGTGATGGTGTTCAGGTTGTGGGTTACGTACGTAACCGAGACGTTTACTACATTAAAAAAGCCATACAAATGGAGCTTATGTGATGCAAACATCAAAATTTATTAGTTTACAAATCATGTGCTATAGTACAAGCATTTTGATGTCATAACATCTTTTACTAATCAATAACCTGCCCTCATAATCATAATTTGTTAGAAAAAGAAGAATAGTTGTTGGCGTTTTACTATCACTTGTGTTAATTTCAGCTGAAAAATGGAGTGAATTAATTTAAAGGTACATTTTTGGAGGCACATTTTTTCAAGGAGCCTGTGCTGTATATTTCCCACTGAAATCCCAATAAAAATACCTCAGAAACTTATTGAGGTCTCCATGCTTCATGTACTCAAACACCATGATGAGAGGGTCGCCGTCCACACACACACCATAGAACTTCACAATGTGCTCGTGCTGGAGGTTGGTGAGGAGCTCGGCCTCCCGTTGAAAGTCTTTTCTGGCAGTCAGGGTGGGATCTTTGAGAGTCTGAGAAACAGAAAGTATGTTTACTCTAGGAGATGTACAGACAAGAACGAATGCATGGTGGAGAGCAGGATGCCACGCTTTTACTGAAGTCATCCTCTAAGCAAGGAGAAATTAGATGGAGGTTAAACTAATATGCCTAATTGCATTTCAGGATGTCTGCCATAAACTGAAATGAGATAAAAACGTACAACAAAAGGCCATAGCATGAATTCTCAAAACAAAAGTGGTGCAGTGACGCAACTTGCATAAACTGTTTCATGTTAAAGGCTAAGTTAAATGGGGAGTTTTCAAATAGAAGAATGAATATAAACAGGTAATAAATCAGAATGCTCAGAATCAGAAAGTCTTATTTTGCAGCATATTATTTGGATTTAAATTTTCAACATTTTGAAGTAGTATTTATAATTGCATTTGCTGAAAGCAGTTATCATTATGGTAAATATTTTTATTTTATTTTATAAAATGTTTTATTTAATTTAATTTTTTTATGTTTATTCTTTCATTCATTCATACCGAATTGACTGACACATTTTTAGACCAAGATAAATGTGCTTTTACAGAAAATTTTCAGCATGCACAAGAAATTTGATGATACATTTTTCAGTATGTCATACATTTTTAATTCTAAAAGTTTTAGTATTTTTATGTGCTTTTGTCATTTTTTTATTCATTTTTTGTAAATATTGATATGTAGCTTTATTTTAATTTCTGTTTCAGTTTTAGTAGTTTTAGTGCTTCAGATTAAATTTATTTTATTTCAATTAGTTACCATGGCAACATTTCTATTTTCTTGTTTGTTTGTTTTTTTTACTTTTTAGTTTATCTAATATAAATATTTTATTTTATTTCTGCTGTATTTTAATTAACATAAATAATTTTGAATAGTTAAAAATGGTTCTCTCAAAACTGAAAGTTACAACATTTATTCATACATCCTGATGTCAAATTTGCATGCTGTTATCAGGAAAGACAAAGCAATTGCATGGCTTTATCGGATGGCAGAAGAACATATTATAACAATTTTCAACATTCTGCAAGAATATATGTAATTTTCTTTCCTGACACAGCTTAACCTAACATTACATGCATTACATTTCCCATCTGACAAATTACATCTCACTTTCTGGGAAATGCAAATTTTTAGACCTAGATCAATTTGCTTTGATAATTTTTTACCATATAGGAAATGTGATAACGTTTTACTGTATATATCTACTGTATAATCCCAGGCAACTGTGTAGGATAGATATCCTTATTAAAGCATTTATAGCATAACAAAAACACAACCATTTAATCTTCCCAGGCACTCCAAAGCGCTTACTAGCGTTTTTACTGTGAGTCCTGCTCCTACCAATTAAATGATAACTTAGCCTGAATGGCACATGATGAAATTTGATTTTAATTACAGAATTCCCCTGATCTCCCTGACACAAGCAGAGGGAGGCATCGTCAGAGAATGGCGTATATGGCACAAATGGTGAAGCGCTCATTTCCGTCAGGGGAAGTGTTAGCTCCATGCCACTCAACGCATTCCTGACGCACTGTCTTTCTGTTGCAGCGTCCTGCAAGGGAGCTGGCCTGACAGCCCCAGGTTCATAAGATATCCTCATGACACTGGAGTATTTTCACAGCATCTTCGGTTATCTTTATGATGTAATGGTTTCAATCGCTCTGGTGAGGTGGTACATTGGATTACAGGAGGAAGTTCAGATGTGGAGAGTGCTTTCCAATGGTTAAATGACAATATTGGCATTAAGAAGTCGTTCTAGACCTGTTCTCAAGGGCCCATATTTTACATTGGACATCAAGTGGAAAACCAATATGAGGAGAGTGCTTTCCAATGGTTAAATGATGTTATTGGCCTTAGAAAGTTCTAGACCAGTTCTTAACTGGTTTTTCAAAAGCACCCATATTTTACATTGGACACAAAAATTGTTTGTGATAAAGTATAGAAGATTTTGTCACTATACACAAACACACACACACACCCTTCTGCCATTCTATTAGGAATCAGTAAGAACACAAAACTGCATTCAGTTATTTTGGATTCAATAAGAACAAGATGTACAGTAGGGTGATGCTCGGTTTTTAGTAGGGATGCACCGATGTATTTATCGATACAAAATAAGATATTTATCGGCCGATTTTTGATTATTTTAAATCCATCGGCATATCGGAAATAGCATGAGAAGGGCCGATACCGGTTTATTAATTAACTGCATGGAGACAATGAGTTGCATGTCTGTTGCATAATCCAAAATTTTTCAAAATAATTAAATACTTGCCAAAACAAAATAAATAGTAAAAATAGTTTGTCAGACGGCATAGTACGGCCTATTCAAACGTGACGTCATCCAACGAGTGAAATGCCCGCGCTCAGCTGTAAATTCATCATAGGTAAGTCGCAATGGCAATGCAACAGCATTAGAGTTTATCCGAGTATATGTCACGAACCGCCAAGCATTAGGCCTACATTTAAGTGAAAATGAATGGCAGGTAATATGCAGCTTTTTGTTTGAAACAGTGTAGAACACGGATACACACAAGGTCACATCACACACCTGCAGCGTTTCTGTGAACGGAGAAAACAGAATACAACTATATAGGCTACATAAAAAGGAATATATAGTACTATACACAAAATATATTTCACTTAAATCATTAACAGATTAACCAAACGAAAGACAAAATTTGGGATGAGTTTCGGATAATTATAACGCGCTCCGAAGTTCACGGGGGAAAAAAAATGAGACGGCAGAAAGACGTTTTCTTTATTTTGCAAAAGGTTTACAGTTTTGAATGATGTTTTGCTTCTATCTGTATGACCAACCAGCATTATGGAGTAACAGTTGGGGAAAACAATGCAGTTATCGCGTCGGTGCCTCACACGCACATACAACAAATTTTTGCTAATTTGACATCGCAGCCTGTTCATTAATTCATCAAAATAAAATACAGTTAAAGAAACATAAAAAGTTACACCACTCAATTTAATTAGTCCGTAGTACAGTCTGTGCCATTCAGTGTGACCAGCGCGTGCCTCACTGCTGATATACTGTAGCCTAGGCTATGTGAAGGATGATGTTTTACGTAACGCGAGTGAAGAACAAAGCCTATAGTTTACATAATAAATAATAGGTTAGCATCCAGATACTTTGCGAATATGGAAACATTTGGATTCGTGCAGAATGAGAGAGGTAGGCTTCAGTTTCGTTTTTAAATTCATTTATTTTGGCTTGACGCTTATATTTAGCCTAAATACAACTTTAGAGGATTTGTTGTGGAGAGAAGGGAACTAAAATAGCCTAATTGTGTTTGTAATTTTGCTTTTATTTAGTATTATTTTAGCCTACATTATTTCTGAATGTAATAATGAAATGCAACGTACAGCATTCGTGACCGGCGTTTTGTTTTGTTCTCTCTCCGCGTTCGTCACTAATCACGCAACGCCGACATGCTACCGTCATCCGCCGGCACGGCTTCCGCGTATGACAGTCACCGGAAGTGAGAGAAAAGTGTTTATTACGTTTGAAATATGGATATTTTTCTTACTAAAACGCATGCATTCATTACAGAAGGCCTTTATTCACCCCCCGGAGCCGTGTGCAGCATGTTTTATTATGGATGCGCGCACTTTATTTGATGACTTGTGGACTGTTCAACTGCAACTGCAACTATAACTCCGACTGGAATCGGTTTTTAATTTGTTTTTGCTTGACGCTTATATAGCCTAAATACACCTTTAGAGGATTTGTTGTGGAGAGAAGGGAACTAAAATAGTCTAATTGTGTTTGTAATTTTGCTTTTATTTACCATTATTTTAACCTACATTATTTCTGAATGTAATAATATAATGTAACGTACAGCCTATACTAATTTAGGCAGTTTTTTTCCTCTCAAAACGCTTATACGAATAGCGTTTCTTGTCCATGCTGAAACATTTTTAAATATCTTGAAAAAAATTCTACAAATTTAAAAACTAGTTTTTAGCTATTGGAATTTGACTGGATTGTGAAAAGTTGGTGCAACAAAAATTAAAATTAAAGCCTATAAAGTAAAAAAAGACATTTTGACCCAAACTTTTTTAGATTGTGTGAAATGAAAGCAGGAATGTACTTTACTTTCATAATGCACATTCCTGGTAATGGAATGGAGTGCACAGGAGAAGTGCATCTATTCTGAGAAAAGTCAAAGCAAAGCCAGAAGAAGGTGCTTTTAACTGCAAAAACATGCCTCACCTTCACAGCCACCAGCATCTTATCTTTGGTGGGGCTGAGGTTGTAACATTCGGCCAGAAACACCTTCCCGAAAGCTCCCTCGCCCAGCTCTCTCTTCAGAACAATGTCCCTCTGTTTAATATGCTGCACATCTGAAAGAGAAATGCAGAAAGAGAAAACCATAACGGCTATTAAATTTGTGTTTTGTATTTCAAGGTCATCAGTTCACAGTGATGCAGCAAAATGAGACTGGATTGTAAAATGGTACTGTTTTAAAGGAATAGTCAGTGTTATTTCAGTATTTATATTATTGTTCTATCAAAATATGTATTTATATTTTGAATGAGCATTTATATTTTCAGTTTCATTTTAATTTTAGTTGAATTTTTTGTTGAAATTTTATCTGCTTTTGTCATTTTTATTTGTTTTAGTTTATTTAGCATTATTTTTTAAAGTTTTTGTAAAGTTTTGTAATTTCAGCACTTCATCTTAAACTTACATTTCAGTTAGTTGCCCGTAAGATTAATTTAATAAACTAAAATGAAATAAACTGAAATAAAAATGAATAAAAACTATATAGATATTAAAAATGAAAAACAACAACAAAATGACTAAAACTAACTAAAATGAAAACTGAAAATTTAAGATTAAAAACTACTTTAAACTGTATATGAGTGATATTAAAACAGCCAAGGCAACATTTCTAATTTTGTTTTTCATCTAATATTTATATTTTATTTGAGCTTTATTTAATTTAATGAATTCAAAATGATTTTTTAAAGGTTTTAGTTAACACTAACACATCGTATGGCAGTAGAATTGGAATATATCTGGAACAGTAACTTTTTTTTTTTTGTAAATGTGGTCACTATGAGTTGTTGTACAGCATGTCTTGTTTTACACAGAACATAGCATATAAGTTTGGAATTATTTATTTATGTATTTATTTCAATTAATAAAAAAACAAGAAGCACTGTCAGTGAATCTCATCAATGCCCATAATATATGATCATACAATAATGAGAAAGGTCCAGGTATGCAATTATCCACATAATATCATCATAAGAGACAATGTCCCTCAGGAACAGGTGGCAAAAATGACTGTGGAAAAACGAGCCAAATGAATTATGAGTGACAGGTTATCTGTATGCGCCCGTTGTGCGTGTTGTTTACGCATATGTGTACAAGTGTAAATAAAGGCTTCAATCGTGAGTTGTTCGCATTGTGTAAAAGGTCAGTTCCCATGCAGATGGTGTTCTAGAATTGCTGCTCGCAGTCACAGCTGGATATTTTCTGCGTGTTTTTTGTCTCCTCTGAGTTCTCTTTTTAAAAAAAAAAAAAACACAAAAAAACGAGTGTGATGCAAATGAGAGTCAATTGTATAAAGGTCTCTTTTTGCCATCTGTTGGGAACTCACCTGGGACTTGTAATGCTTTGCCATCAATGCTCATTGTCATTTCCAATTATTTGTGTGAATTTAAAGTAGCTTAAAAGCAAAAATGCTTTACCACAAAAAAAGGCTACAAATATGACTACACAAACTAACAGCCTCTCATTTCCTGTATCTAATCTTGAACTTCAAATAAACACATCTACTCATTGGCCTCTACCAAACATTGCATTAATAAAGGCAAACGATTATGTATACATATAAGTTTCTAAATAAATCAACAGACACCACACAGGCTATTATTCACACACACACACACACACACACACACACACACACACACACACAATATACACATATACACACACACACACACACACACACACACACACACACACACACACACACACACACACACACACACACACACACACACACACACACACAATGTAAACATATATCATATATCCTGTTATACTGCTGTCAGATCAAAAATAACCCTTTGCGCATGTCCAAACCGAAATGATTTGTTGTATTGCTTCAACTTCTTGTGGTTGCTATGAAGTCACACAGAGATATTGTGAATTATTATTATGCTTGGGTCACTGGGTCAGAGCTGCCATTCTGAGACAAAACAGTGTTTTGCAAAGAAAAAAAAAGATCATAAATAGTCCTGTACTTATCTGTTTTTATAAATCAGCATGTTCTGGGTAAACAAACGTACACTCTCAGAAACAAGGTACAAAAGCTCTAACTGCACCTTTTCTAAAGGTACTGATATGTACTATTTGGGTACTAATATGTGCTCTTTAGATATTAATATGTACCTTTTAAGATACTAATATGCATCTTTTAGAGATAAATAAAATACAATAAATTACCATTTGAAAAGGTAGCAACCCGGTGACAGCTTTTATACTTTTTTTCTGAGTGTAGAATAATGGGAAAAAAAATAGCAATGCAAATTGAAGTGTGTTTGTGTATATATAATGCATTATATAAGTATTCATATAATGCCTTCTAACGCACCTTGTAATAAGTTGAATGTGCTTTTATAGCCTTTAGCTGTAACCAGAGTTTATATCATCTAATCATTTATAATACACAATTTCACAATAATTATAATACTTATAAATGCACATTTATTGTTATAGCATTAAAGAACATGATGTATCAAAGCAATATGATCAACAAGTACATCAGTCACATTCTAACATTTTAAAAATGTTATTGTTGCATTACTAGATGAGTATTGTAATGTTTTTGAATACAATAAATGTGATTTTATAAGTACAATTACTATGAAAAACAATATATGAAGCATTAAAATGTTATGAAATAAAATTATAAAGTTATAAAATTATGAATACTTTTATAAAACATATTCTGGTTTTAAGTTAAGTGTTTATTAAAATATTTAATTTGTTGACAAACTGTCAATAAAACAGCTTAAGGCAAGGTTATATTTAGTACACCTTGCCATAAGGACAACAATAAATGTTTCTAATTACAATTATTAAGAATTTTTTTAAATTAATTATTTTTTTTTTAGAAAACTCCTATATACTGGATAATGAATTTATGTTAAGTTAATTGCAGTGGTGGACAGTAACGGAGTAGTTTTACTTCGTTACTGTACTTAAGTACATTTTTCAAGTATCTGTACTTTACTGGAGTAGTTTTATTTTGAGTAACTTTTACTTTTACTTCACTACATTCCAAAGCATAAGATCGAACTTTTTACTTCACTACATTTCATACAACTTATCGTTACTATATATAATATATATAAAAATAATATATCACGTGCTCCGAGACGCAGAAGTGGTGTCTGATTCAAGAACGAACTGATTCTTTTCAATGAACCTGTTAAATCGGTTCGCAAATCGCACCAAACGATTAATTCACGAATTAGAATGAACCGATTGCAGTTGTTCTCGAGTCGACAACTCACTGATTCAAATGATCCGTTTAGTGCGAGTCTCCAGTGAACAGAATTCACAAGTAAGAACCGGGAGATCTTGTGAGCGCATGCGCGTCTGATGCTGCTAAAAGTAAGT